GTGAACTTGACGTGGAGAGTCAGTGCAGATTTCTACGTACTCTTTTCACCGGACTGACTCTTTTCCGTGCTCCTGGAGCAGAGACGGCAATTATACTGTATTTTGAGAGCAAAGCAGAGGAGCACTGGGCGAAAGGGAGTAGTAAAGAAATATAAGCGGTAAAATGCTTTATTATCATCATCATTATTATTATTGAAATGCTGATTATTATTATTTCTGTGTATTTTACTGAGTTATTGCATTAACTTTAATTAAATAAGCATAAAACCAAAACAAATTGTTCATGTGGAAGACCTGTATTTGGTAAGTGTTAATAGTTACCCATTCTTAACTTTAAACCATTTTTAACAAACAAAAAAATAGAAAACCATTAGTGTATGAGAAAAAAAATGCAACCCAATTCCTTGAAACCGAGAAGTTTCTTGTCATTATTCTCGCGTCCTCTCCAACAAGGGATTAGTGAACAAATCAGTGAAAAAATCAAAAATATTTTGTTAAAACTTTCACATAGATTTTATTACACATTTGCCTAACTGATTTTAAACCTTTGCATACACATTTCAAAGAAAATCTTACATTTAGAGCAACCATCGTAAAATATAATGATTAATCTGTAACAAAATGTACATCAAAATTGTACGGGAGTCTTTCCAGGCGTCTGCCAAACTAAGACGACGAGTAAACCGTAATTACCGTAATTCGCGTGTAGGTGTTGTCCAGTTTATTCATATTTCTAAACAATATTATTGGCTTAGGTGGCTCAGGGCATCAGTTGATGTCACTGCAGTGCCTCTGACCCGGATCAGAGGATTCGACTCCCGACTGTGGCAGGGATTTCAACACGAGGTTGATAGCTAGTTCGAATTCAGTCACTGTCGAGAAGAAAATTTTAGTGGCAGAGCCGCTTCTCTGATTCTTTTTTCGTGCTTTCTCTGTTAACACCAGACAAATGCCGGAGCGGTACCTAACTAACGGGCCACGGACCGTGCGTGATCTTTCTTTCCCTTTCCTTGTCCTATCGTTACACCTCTTACACCTACAGTCACTACACTACTACACATGCCGGGAGAGCTTACGGTTTGTCCCGGCAGGGGCGGTGCACCGCTGATGGGAGATATGTTTGTGGAAAATCTCGCAAGGCAACGTGTACATCGGCGCCGGATCTCGCCATCCATCTGCGAAAGATTACCGCCGTCAACCGCGATAAAACCATGAACTTCTCTCATGAGAATCGTGATCTTAGAAGTCGACGTGCCCGGAATCACTAATCAATCGAAATGGTATTATTGTCTATTTCATTCACATTTATCAATAAAAATCTTGGAAAACGGGTCCTGTATAACGTTTAGTATACAAAACGACGCTACCAGGAAACAAGTCGTGGTCCATATCACTCGAACACAATCCAGACGCCTGCATTGTTTTGAATAAGTTTATCCGCGGGGGTGACCAAAGAAAACAAAGGAGACTCGGACAATAGATCCACGGTAGATTAGATTTGATTGCATTGCCGTCAAATTGACTATACCCCTCACTCCTCTCGCTTCTGCCAATATGTCAAGAAAAAGTGAGCCTCTTGCCAAATAGAAAATTCAATTTTATTTACTCAAACTAAATAAGTAAATTATCTAAAGAAATAAATATGTATTATCTAGATGACAGATAGCTGGGACTCATTACATGATGGCAAAGGTAATTTTTTTGTGAATCTCAATATTAGTGGGTCTCAGGGGTCAATATCAGGGGGCGTTGGTAAAGGAGAACGTGGCCTAAAGAGGTCTGTCCACTTAATGTTTATTTACTGTACTGTTCAAAAAATGGAACAGTCAATTTCAAAGGTTTTGTTCTTAACTCTTACGTTTATATTGCAAAATTTTGTACTTTCAACAGTCATAAACATCCTTAACGAAACATGTAAAGCGGTTATGTAATTTCGGAACGGTAGACGTTGTGAACTTTTTAAAGTTCCGTACGCTGCTGGCCAGAGCTATTACATGTTTTCTCTCTTTTCATATCTGGTACAACTGCACTTAGCTGCTATATGCATGGGGTTAAATCAGAGGGAGGGGCCGGAGTAGTGCAGAACAGTAAAATACTTCAAACAACTATCGTATTTCCTTGATGACAGACCTCAGGGAGCCATTACAAAATGGCAAGGGTGAAATACGTGCGGAGAGCGGGCGCTCTCAGGGGGCGGTGGAGATCGAAAATGTCGACCTGAAGAGTCTCCTCTAATGCTTCCAGTGCTGCCAACAACGCGCGCCGAGCGCAACGGACGCGATGAAAATAAAAGATTCCTCAAAGGGTCCGAATCACGCTCCGGGGCACGCGCTGAAAGTAATTCATCGGCATCGCAGCGAGAAAAATTCCACAGTAATCGACGTCTGTTGAAGCTCGTGATTTATATCCGTTACGCGTCTGTATTGGATGTTCGAAATGACATTTTTCTGCATTTACTTTCTCGACGTGCTAAATTTCTCTCTGATTTAAAGTGACGGTTAATCAAGTCCTTTAAAAATGATAGATGTAAAAGAAATGGCGAAATAAAATTAAAATTTTACTCGGCTACAAAAAATGGTGCTAAATATACTATATACCTATGCATTCTCGCAATTTAGAATTTTGCATTTTATTTTGTATCAACTTTATTGATTGTAACTGTATAACTATAAAATATGTTTCATTATTGTCGTGGAAATCGTGATAAAATACTATTTTACTGTTTAATTTATGTTGTTCCTTCGGTAACAAATGGGAGAGAGATAAAAAATCAGTAATTGGAAATCGCAATTAAAAATGTATTCCCATTTTTTTGCTTTTATATGTTACTTCGATAATGTCGATAGTGGAAAATCCTTATTTTATTCGATCAAACATTATGTGTGAAACTTTTTTAGTTACGGGTAGGGAAAATCGGCTTGAGTCAGACGTAAAGTGAAACGAGTAGTTCTCGCTACATTTCGGCGATGGCTGCTTTGTTGCATGGGGTTGCATGGGGCTTACTGGTAGCTCCCGGCTCTAGCTTGCCGAGTGCGTACGTGCCCGCCTTGGACGAAGTGTGTACTGAGTGTGTATGTAGTATAAGGCAGCGCTTGTGTGTTATATTTTAAGTAAATATATGAGATTTGTACGTTATGATTAATGTATTACACATTTTGATTTAACTCGCCCTCATTCGGGCTTATCGATCTCCTACTTAAAACCTTGCGGTCTTCGCTTCACTAATCACTCACTTCCGACAAAGACACATCTGCTTTTGCTACATTTATTTCAATTCGCATCTGTAAACAAAACAGGTCCAAGTATTATAGTTGGGCTTGGAAATGAAGTAATGGACAAATGGCGACCGGTAAGAGCTCATTTTTATTAAAGTTTTTTTTAGTATTTATTACAAAACCAGCTAATTAGAGCAAGTAGTAACTCCTTTAGGGCACACTACAATTGACGTAAGGAAAAAATAATGAAATTTAGTTGAGTAGAAAGCTCATACTTATTTTTAAAAAAATATCCTTAGAATTTTAAATGTATTAGGTTACTAGTATCCTACTTCAGCTGTCATAAACCTACAACTTCTTTCTAGGAGTACGAATCTCTGAAATTTGATGAACAAATAAAAAAAGTTGTTTTTATTGAATAAAAAGAGATTGTCTTAAATTAAATTCCACCTAACTATTTCTTAATCGTTAGAAAATGTTATAAATGGAAAAATTAAATACATGAAATGTACGTTTCCTTTGGATCTAAGAAGTTTCTCTTCTACTGGTCGCGAGACTTGGACATAATTTTAAGCTCTTCCGCACGTTTCACATATTTCACTCCTCTCTCAAATCCTCCTCTCTCAAATTCTGCCTTCGTATGAATGTAATAGGCCTCGTGTTGATTTCTCAATAAACTCCGTCCACCCCACGTGCACGCATATATGCAAAGCGACCAAAGGGAGAGGGATTCCCCATTTTTGAAAATATTTTGATCCCTCGAGGAGGCGAAAGGTCGTCCGCATCACGTGCGGGAGTTCGCCTACAGTGACATCCTATTAAACTGCACTCCCCGTGGCTTTCAGAGGCGCTTTTCCTAATGGTACATCGGGTTGGGTCGGGGCCTGGGCGGGACCGGGTGAGGCGGGGAGTGACGGGGAGGTGCCACATAGGGATTCGGCCGAATGTGCAAAGAGCGCATGAAACTGGAGCGAGCGCGCGCGCGCTCTGCCGAGAGCTCGTCAAAACAGATGCGGGGGCGGTCGCGGTCCCATGGGGGGCCGCCGCCGCTGTCATTACGCGCCCACCGCGCCCTCCAGCGGTCAAAGAGGTAATTAGCTGTCCGTTCGGCCGGCGAAGTTTCTCCTTTTGCCGCCCCCCGTTGCCACCTCTGACGCTCAAACGCCCGACCAGCACTCTCAGACGCGGCGCTGTCCGTGGAAGAGTAACTCCAAGGTGTACTCGTGCCTAAGCACATGTGTAAATTATCAGATATCTGGGTCAAGCTCTGAAGTAAGGCCTTTCTGCTGGTAGCCGGTTCATTTGCGGTAATAGGTTTGCATGGTACGTAAGGGTTACTGGTTTGAACAGGGTGGACTTCATTGTTTCGTAGCAAAATATATGTAATGTTTTGAGAGGTTATAATAAATTAAACTCTTATTAAGTACGCTGTCTACAACCCTAACAACATACATGCGCATTGATTAGTTTTGCTTACAGTGTTTCTTATTATTAGAACTATCAAATACAAAATCAGTTATTGTTACATCGAAGAAACAATTTAACAAGTAAAATATGATGTAGGTAAAGTAGATCAGGCACGTATTTCAATCAAATTGAGTATGCAAAATAAACCTCTTGAATTAGAGTATAAAAAATTTAATATCAAATGACAATGTTAAAAAAAGTATACATGCATGGCCGGAAAGGATGTTATTACATGATCCAAAAGTCAAAAATCAGCTCACCATAAAAATACATCAAATTTTCTGAACGTTAAAAAAAATAAAAACACGTTTTTAAATTGAATATATCGTCTGTAATCTTCGGTGATAGAGAGACGTGGTTAATATTCGTCGTTGTTCTCCCCGTCTGACTTGTCGGGCGAACTACTTTCTTTCTCAGCCTCCCTGTAATCGTTCTCCAACGCAGCTAGATCGTGTCGCGCCTCTTCAAACTCCGCTTCGTCCATGCCTTCTCCGATATACCAGTGAACGAATGCTCTCTTCTGATACATGAGATCGAACTTCTTGTTGACACGAGCCCAGGCGCTGTTAATGGCCGTTGTATTCGATAACATACAGACTGCTCTTTCGACTGGGGCCATGTCCGCGCCAGCTACTACGGAAGGCTTTTGAGAATTAATGCCAACCTGCAAAATTAAATTCAATTTTTTTAAAATTATAGTGCGTTAAACAGCTAGCTTCTCTCTGGTGTTAATATGTCAAAATACGAAATGTTATATACTGCTTTCTCCAAATTAGGAATCAGTGTTTGGCTTTGATCTTAACATTTTCAATACGCATCACTTCTTAAATTATTCAACATTCATATTTGTTGAAATATAATATTATATGGTAAAAACAAATATTGTTTTCAATACATTACAATTCATTACAAAATGTATCTTAAGTTTTAATTTCTAATGCCGTTACCTTAAACCCTGTGGGACACCAGTCGACAAATTGAATGCATTTCTTCTTTTTGATGGTGGCTATCGCGGCGTTAACATCTTTTGGCACGACGTCTCCGCGATACAGCAAGCAGCAGGCCATGAACTTGCCGCTCCTGTGATCGCACTTGACGAACTGATTAATCGGCTCGAAGCAGGCGGACGTGATGTCCGCTACCGACATTTGCTCGTGATTAGCCTTTTCGCTGGAGATTATGGGTGCGTAAGTCGTCAGTGGAAAGTGGATACGTGGGTATGGGACCAAATTGGTTTGGAAATCTGATAAATCCACGTTGAGCGCTCCATCAAAGCGAAGAGACGCCGTTATTGATGATACGACCTGAAGATAAAAGGAAAGCAGTCACATTAGTGTCTGTTGTTGACGGTAAATAACGTAAAAAGCGATGTCACCTACTTGTCCGATAATCCGATTAAGATTGCTGTATGATGGGCGCCCAATTCCAAGTTGATGAACACATAGGTCATATATTGCTTCGTTGTCCACCATAAATGTGCAATCTGCAGTTTCTAACGTGGCGTGTACTGACAAAATGGAATTATATGGTTCCACCACAGCGCTCGATACCTACGAAATAGAAGAGTAAAATGAATAATAAAAATCTAGATATTAAAGTTTTAGTCTTTCACATTCATAAATAATGTGCTTTACAATGCACAGTAAATGCAATTGAGGTCGGAAGCAGAAGTATAATAGGTAGTGTTCACAATATTCAAAATGATAAACAGTAATATAATGAATATTGAAAGTTGTCTGATACTATCGAATTTGCTTATACTCTACCAATGTTATCATATATATTCCCTCTGAGTTTGGTGCTTCTCATGTGATACAAATACTTTAATTTCAGCCAAACACTCTTCTTTTTTACATTTGTTAGTCTGTTGCAATCCCTTAACGTTTTTGGAACGTAAATGTTGAAGGTAACGTAAACGTTGAAGGTAAAAAATGTAAACTACATTTTATGTTTTGAGTTTCAGGTATACTTTCAGAATTTATTTTATATATTTCAATTGTATTTGTTTATTTGCAAAGTAAAGCCTAATTTAACCAAATTAGTTTCGAAAGTTAATAAATTCCCATTTAATCTAAAAACAGCCAATGACCACAAAGCTCAGATTCCATTCTTCAAAGTTCGTTTAGCGATTCATTATTTGATAACTTCATTTAACGAATGACTCATTTGTCGTTAATAATAATACAGCATTTATAACAACGCGTAAAAAATGAACCTGCGTGATTACCTGGGGCGCAGGGTACACAACGAATTGCAGGCGACTCTTCTTGGAGTATTCGGACGCCAGGTGGTTGAGGAGCAGCGCTGTGAATCCGGAGCCCGTGCCGCCGCCGAGCGAGTTGTAGACGAGGAAGCCCTGGAGGGTGCTGCAACTCTCCGCCAGGGTGCGCAAGCGATCGGACACCACGTCCATCATGTCCCTCCCCACCGTGTAGTGGCCACGGCCATAGTTGTTGGCCGCGTCCTCCTTGCCCGAGATGAGCTGCTCCGGGTGAAACAGCTGTTTCCACAGTCCAACTCGCACTTCGTCTGCCAAATGAATTTAGGATTTTTTTAAATAATAGAAATATTCTATAGACATTTTTCTCTATCTACGTATGTGTTAACACAAACAGTTCGGCTGATATTGAATAAATAAAGCAGGTAACATTCGAGTAGTAAGGTATAGGAGTACATTTGCTTCATTACAGTATAGTAAAGAGAACACCCTCACGCACACGTTATGAAGATTTGATCTTAGAAAAAAATAGGTTGTGTTTCAGACTCAAAAATACGAAAGAAATTGTAGGGATAAATTAATTAATATTCTCCAGTTGTGATACTTATAATTTATTTTGTTGACTTTTGTCATAATATTCATGTTTAGTTAAAGGAGTGCGTGAGAAGAGAACCAACCTATAACTGTCGGTTCTAAATCCACCATTATGGCCCGAGGAACTTGCTTCCCAGCTCCCGTTTCTTTAAAGAAAACGTTGGAGACATCATCGCGAAGTTCTCCATCGAACAGTCTGTCGCCGCTAACTGTTCCATCGGGCCGGATGTTGTGTTCTAAACAGAACAGTTCCCAACTTGCGTTGCCTGTTTGAACACCAGCTTGTCCAATATGGATGGAAATGCACTCCCTCTGCAATAAAATACAAAGAACAGTGAGAGAGGGAATAACTTAACTCGCAATTCGTATTCTAAAATAAAATAATTTATAATAAATAATTATAATTAATTAATTATTATTAATTATTATATAATAATTAATAATAAATCAATATTTTTTTAGTGTATGTTGCAATTAAAAAATTACAAGGATTCCTTGGATAATAAAATATAACTTGGTATCAAGATTTTCTTACTTTCACCCCTTACAAGCTAGAAATGTATATTTTATGTATGTACATAGCAATAACAAGCCAGTAAATCAGTGAATAAGTGTTTATTTTCTGGATGTTGATAGTGCATGAATAATTTGAGGTAGGTGACCCAAACTTCGCCAGTGACACCAAAATTGACAACTGAGGCAAATGTTTCATTTAATATGAATATTTTTATGAAAAGGCACAATACAATCCTAACTACTTAGTATAACATTTGAATAACATAAGCCTATGCCAGATACAAAAACGTTTCAGAATGACCTTATTTTTTGAATAATTTTAGACGTTTCAGTTCAACTATAAGACATGTGTCTACAAACCATGTAATTCGCGCATGATTATAAAAAAGCAAACATCCCGCCTTCTTATTGTTTCATGCTTCCATATTAAAATAAGTCGCCTCACAAGTAATGTATTTTGAACGCCTTATACAAGGTACAGAAATAACAAAACTGGAACGTGAGAACATGAGACCGTGACACTGGCTGGGAGAGAATTCAGTGTACGTAGAAGAGTCTAATGAACTTGACACATAGATTGTAGACGCTCCCAGATTACGTTCTTCATTGGGCAAAATATAATAATTATTAATTTCAGGTAAAAAAGAAACGTTATGAGGTGGCAAAGTTTGTGTAACCTACCTGGTTATAATGTGCACAGCTTACCATATTTAAGTAGATGTTAGTGGTTCGGCGAGCGGTAATTAAAAATTTGAAAAATTTAGATGAAGAAAGATGAAAATACAAGAATTTTGTCCGATCACGCTTTCATGACTTTTTCTGTCAGCTGTTAAAAATTTCCATGGTTTCGGAAGTTATCAATTATTGAACAACGTACTCTCAAAATCATGGCCCCTTATATATTGTTTCATTAATGAGCTGGTACAGTATTTACGAGTGCATGTGGTACTATGCAAGGTTGAGTTTCCCTCAATTAAGACACGAACGTAAGTTTGTGAATCCATATGTTGATTTCCCATACGGTGCTCTGATTATTATTTAACTCTCTGGCAACTTTCGTAAGGCTAATCAATGAAAAATCATATAACCAATATTGGTACCAAATGTTCAAGAGGCATCATGAATTCTTATATTAATAGGATTAAATTTTCAAAATGAAACAGATTAACCCTACCTAGCAAGGAAAGTTCGGCTAATTTATTGGAATAATACAATAATCTATAAATCCCCACACGTATAGAAGTAAAGTCAACATAGTTTTTAGAAATGAACAAATCTCCTTTATTAAAATTCATCGCTAGACAAAATAAAACGTTTGCATTAGTGTACTTATATAACTTTGAAGCAGTGAGTTCCTCGCGAGTGCAGCAATTTCCGTAACTGTGGACTTCCATTAAAGGCTGGAGCGCAGGTCCACGCTGGAGGTGCCGGCGGTGAGCACGGGGCGTTTAGGCGAGCGGGTGACCACGTGACCTTCCACAGTGGGCTTGACGGTCCCGCGGGCGCGCTGGCGGCGAATTGCAGCGGCGGGGGCGGGGATGGGGGCGGTGACATGAAAGGGTCGCCGCCGGGAGCCATTTGCCGGCCGCCCAATCTCGCGGTGCATTCGCGGGATTAGCGAGGCATTCTGCGCCGCAAAGCGCTGCTTCGCGCCGCGGCTGCACGGCGGCCCCGCCCCCTGCGACCCGCTGCGCCGCGCCGACTGACCGCTGAGAGTCAAGGGCACCGCGTGCGACGTGGTTATTTGGCAGGTTTTTGAGAATGGGCTTGTAGAAATGCGATACTATATTTGACAATGTTTCGAGTTTCTACTAAACCATTGCAAAACTACAACAACAAAGAATATTTACAAAGGGACATGGTTCCCTCTCGACCTCGAAAAATCTTTCACTCTCAGTATCTGCCAAAATGGCTTGACGTTTTTTATCTTAAAATAAAATGGATTATTTTCTTAAGGAATGAGACTAAGGATAACAATTTTTCGAGTTATAAAATTGTTTAAATGTCTTTTAAAAATATTTATCTTCATTTTAACTTCGGAGTGAATTTGAATTGATGTCGTAATACCACAAAATGCAGGTACCCTGAATAAGATTGTCCACTTCGTTGTTTGCTTTGTAGCAATTGTAAATTAACTGGTGAACTAAACTTATCGCATAATACGCGTAGATAAAGATATAAATTGGTTACTATTGTTGCGTGTATTTCAAATACTTTGATAAGAATTAGTGTAGTCTGAATTTCATAATAATTTATTATTATGTTTTCTTCACAATAATAGATACTGAAGTTATTTAAAAGGTATTAAATATGAGCATCCTTGAAGATTTAATGAATAATATTTCAAAAATCAACAAGCCTCTGAACAAGAAGTATAACTTCGCAACAGGATTTGTTTTACTTTTTTTGTTTACTTTTATCTTAATTGCAAAGCATTTTTCTTAAAAGAGCTTTTAATTTATGAAATGGAAATGGACAGGAAATTTAATTTCAGGAATTAGAATGTTTATCATATTTGCGAGAAAATAAATAAAAAAAATAATTAATAAGATTTTCATAATCAGATTTCCTCGGAAAGAAACATCATAGCCCAGCAAAGAGATTGAATGCCATGATCAATGTTTTGTTTCAAAACAAATACATTTAACGTAAAGTAATAATAACTAGCATATTATTGTTTTTTATTTATTTTATTTAATTATTGCTATTATTAATAGTATAAACAGCGATTATATAACATCATGCGCAACGAGACGTGTACTTATTTCAAATTAGAGGAGATGGCATTGACAATATAGTCAGAAGTGTCATATGAACTGGCAAATTGATAAGACATGTAATCTGAACTGCAATCCTTTAGCCACCATGCCCACTTTCTTCCACAAATCATCTTCGAGAGACTTCAGGAACCTTTCTTCCTATGAGGCTACATTACTATTCGAATTTTGACCTAGTCTTAATGATGAGAGCTCCATAAATGTGAAAAATGATAAACAGCCATAAAAGTGATGAAAGTTACAGCTGTATAATCAAAAGTGCGGACAATACCGTCTTGAAAAGATTTCAAAAAACTGGAAAAACTATTAATAAATACAGTAGAGTCCAAAAAAACAATAAATACCCTCTCGAGTAAACCGTCTTTTTTAATAATGATGAGAGGACGGAGCGCGGGAGGTGCATGTCCTGCGGTTCAGGCTCTGCCCCGCCATCTTCCGGGAATTGATGGAAAGAAATCTTAGAAACTAGAAGATCGGGACCCCTTGACCTCAAGAATTTTCATTTACTGAAAACTCCCGAACAAATACCTTTAACTTATATCAATTGAAGGTCAAAGAAATCCCCACTAAACACACTTTTTCAGGAAGAGGAACTTTTAACATTCAACCTTATACTCGTAGTTGAAGACAGTATTTAACGGTTTTAATATACCGTTTAACATTGGAGAAACGCTATTTTCAAAATAGAATTTGATAGCATAATAGAGAAGAGTGTTAAGAATAAATTTATGTGTGAAACTAGAAAATAAAAACAATGGACATACGTCTCATTCACACGTCTTCAATTTGCGAATTTGCAACTACACCCGGACATTGGTAGCACTGCTTTTTTTCTATAAACTTGTGACACTTTCCGTCTACATCTTCGATTGGTCGAATTGTTACGGAAAATCCGAGAGCCGTGATGGGCCGGAAGGGTACTTGTGAAGCAGGGGAGGGAGGTGATCCCCGGGGAGGGAAATCTCTCCCTGTAATTTTTTTCATTATCTATTAATTTTAACTTGTAAAGAGATATTCAAGCAATATATTTTTGGATTATCATTGAAACGAATAAAATCGTATCGTGGCATTAGCTGAGTGAAGTCTTAGACGATTTACAAAATCTGTAATATGTCGTAATAGACGAAATCATTTTGAATTTCCCCTCCTAAAAATCGTCTCTGGATCCGCACTTGTGTGAAATCGATAGTGACGTTGGAGCGTTAGCGGTGGCGGAAGAGGTGGCGAGGTCGCATGCACCGTACATTTGCCATGCGATCGCCACTGTTGCCGCCGCCGCCGGGTCACTTTTTTCCAAACGAGCAGGAAGGGAGACAGTTTGGATGGGCGTTCTGCTTCGACTCCGCGGTGGGGAACGATGTGTAGCAATCGGTAGGAAACGAGAAACAAATGTTTGTTAAGAAGATATTATTAGTTGTTGGCTACGATGTGCGGGTTTCAAGGTGTGAGGACCATTCAGCGACAAGGTTGCGTGTCAAGTGAATAGTGATGTTCGAGGCCGTGATAACGTTATTATAAGTAACATATCTGGTCAGAGAGAGCCTGTAGATTTTACGGAACTTCGGTCTTAGTACAATAATTGTTTTCCTCTATTCTCTTGACAAGAAGTGTATTCTGCACATTCACAATTTTTTTAGCTCCGATATAACCCGGGGTTGCGAGAACTAGTGTCATGGTAAAGTTGCAGCCATCTTACAAGATAATTTTTGCGATTGAGGTTAGAAAATAATTTATAAATTTTCGCTTTATCTTCGACCGAGGGATCCTGCAATAACGTGAAATGTATTCAATATGTTAATTATTTTATTTGCATAAATACCAATTATTTTTACATTATTGTTATGATTATACATTTTACATAGGAAAACATCGTATTGTGAATTTAATTACATTTTGTACTGAAAATTTCGTGCTTTCCAATATATCCAACCTTAACCTCGAGAAAGAATAGTGTATGCATTATATTTTGGATTATGAATTTATATTTTGCATTTCTGTGAAATGTAACAGAAATCACTGTGTTGTAGAATCATTGCCTAATATCTTACATCCGTGGATATAATATTTTTAATTTTATCTAGCACGAAAATCTAGACTTGTGGTTTCTTATGTTCATATTCTTGTTTTATAACCAATTATTTTCAAACCCTTTCGAACCTTCCACAAAGTAGTCAAATTTTTAAATTTAAATTAGTTTTAATAAGCTAGTTATTATTTTCATTTTAATATATCAATATAAGAAATTAATATTTTGAGAATCACTACTCCAAGAAGGACATGCTTAAAAAGCTTTTGGTTTGTACCCAATTCGAGCGATTTGTGATTTTCATAATTTCTTTGGTGTTCCCAGGTTTTTACTTTTATAATAAACGACATTCTTCCGTATGGATATGTTAAAAAATAGTGTATATGTCTAGTTTCTCATTATATCTTATGCAGCCGAAATAACTGTTGTTTATGCCGGTTTTGTATGATAGTACTCATATCTCTGTGATAGTAGTTCATATCTCTCTGACACGAACTCAGATATGACGGAATTCACAAAAATAATTTGTCCAGTTCATCGATACTGTTGAACTACATTGTAATTGATCAAAATTCAATTTCGGAATATTCATCTTCATACCTTCCACGCGGAATGTTACACAAGTACTTAATTAGTATACGGATACACATCTCACTAATGACCCAATAGCGGAGCGTCAACATTTGTGAACAGTTTCGCCAACTCAGCAAAGAGCCTTTACCGAATTCACTGCTAGAGTAGTAACTAAATCTGTGCTCACATCTCAGTATTCGTTGTCATTCCCTACCAGCCACCCACCATCCACCACCGACGCGCTATCTCCTAACAAGTTATCTTCCTCTCACGCAGCCCGTATTTGACCTATTAACTCATCGCTAATCTCTGCTCCTGCAACTCCGTCTCTC